GAAAGCGCCCATATGCACTGGAATCAATAGAATTCTGGCCCGTTAAGCCGCAAAAAAGGACGCTCATGCATCGTGGTCAATTAAGAAGCATAGATGGATAAGCCTTTCAAGCGCACATACATTGGAGGCATAGTTCGGGTGAACAAATGACAGCTGTGGTGCAGACTGCAGACAGCCATGCACTGAGGGGCAGCCGCGACGTTGATAGCCTCTGTGATCTGCACAGGAACAGCCCACCCACAACCAACGCGACTTTCTGTTACTTGAGGTCTAGCAATGACGACGCAAAAGACAGGCAACAGAATTGGCTCAAGAAGGATGCTACCGAAAGCAGTTCCTTATGGGAGTAAGGACTGCGTAATGAGTCTTGCTTCAACGAAAATGGGGACCTAAAGTTACATTTAGTGACTGCAAGTCGTGATTATTAGGATTCACGCATGAGTTTCTAGACGCTAGGTGACTTACTAGTACAGAAAAGTGCCGAAAAAGCTGTCAAAAAGGTCCAAAAATGTAAGGCAGAGTGCTAGATTGAAAAAGAATTTGCGTAATTAGATAAAAAAGAAGCCAGGGCTAGAAAGGTTTAATTACTAATGAAGATGTCTCATACTCTGAACCGTGTGCTCACAACGATTTGAGGCTTACTATTATTGGCGGCGCTGAACGCGTCCACGCCTTGACATGTTGTCTCAAACATCACATCCACAGGGATGTCTCTATGAACCTACTCGTGTTCATATTTCCAGTGAAGATTCATACATGTTTTAGAACTGATTCAAACTCACAAAGGAAAGGAAAGGGAAAAATGACAAACAAACAAGTAAATGATGTTAAGAAAAAATTTCATAACAGCAAATAACACTTTCTACATTTTTAGTCGTCCAACGCATCTGATGGGCAGTCACTGCAGTAAAGAAGGTTCTAAAAAATCAAGGACTGATGGGTGCTCGGTGATAAGAGGGACTGTAAGTCCAGATAGCAAAGTGCAAAAACGTGTTGTATACTCTACGCAATCATTTCTAACCGAAATTGAAATGAAGTCGTCGCCTTATAAAATCCTCCTGATTCGAGCATACTAAATCGGTCGAGATACCAACCGTTATATCCAGTTAACGCATATACCACCGCGGACGAGCCACTCCTTAAATATGAAAATGATCATAATGTCAAAACACTTTTGTACGCTTGCGCTACAAAGGCAGGTGAACAGGCCCTGGCTCGCTGGTGGAATGCGAGCGAAAGTGGAGAAAAAAGAATTGCGGAATCAGGGCACAGCATAGTTGTCGTGACACACACAACCTGCACTAAGAGTCGACCATTTCTTACCTGGGGGGGGGGGGGGGAGGGGCGTATTGAGTCCGTTGAGAAGGAGGTCATATTGCTTGAGAAAATTGTCGGCGGTTGGTTTTCGCTGTTGTTGACTTGTTGCGTGATTTTTCCTCTTATGTGCACTATACAGGGGGGGCCAAAAAAAGTCACTTTGCTTCATTGACTTTCGAGGCGCTATAAGTTACACTTTATAAATTCTGATCGGACATTTCTACCATATTAAAGAGCATATTAAATACTATTATGACACTCTCCGCCAAACGCTTCTGAGACGAGCGCATCAAGAGATCATACACGAGCAACCGCGATGTGGTGCCTGAGATCAGGAGCTACGCGTTTCTCCGCCACCGTAACACGCCTATTCGAGATCCGTTAAAACGCGGTAATGAAGGTTCTGGTCAGGTAGTCTAGCTGGAGATATTACCATCTTCTTTAGGTAGCTGCAGCGCCCTTCATATCAAGTAGGCAGCGTTTTCAATGCCTTCGATTCCAATATGGTGGCAGTCCAATGCTGTAGCAGTAACAAAGTTTCAAATGAAGTACGGGCGACGACAGTAGAGAAGGAGTATCTTAAAGTTGCTCGATGCACCGCCAGCGTTCACCTCAAACCCGGCGTACAGAAGAAAATATTGGTCTCTCCATTATCCAGAATACTCCTCCGGTCCACACCATCACGTCCGGCTTGGGCCTGCGTGAAGATGAGTCCGAGGACCGTGGCGACGCTGCCGATTGTCGGAGGTCATCCAATTGAGAGTACGGCTCCGGTGCTACCATGGGTGACTCTATACAAATGAGGTTATCGCAGCTGTCTTTGAAGCGAATCCATGAATCCAAAGGTCTTCTCACAGTCTGCCGACTGGAGATGATCTCAATATTTGGTGTACCGTGAAGGTGATAGCGAGAGGCCAACCCTGCTTATCGAGGACATCGTGGGTATCGTTCGCTCTGGACTGCTGATATGTGACTCGGTCGAAGTGACTTTTTTTGCCCCTCCCCCCTGTATACCTCAATCCCCGCTCGACAGCAAAATTTTAGGGAACGGGAATTTTCGGTTAATTCGGAAAAAGTGGTAGGAAGTTGAGGAAATTCGCCCGTTTCACACTGGCTATATAGAACGTGGGAGGACGTACTGACACGCTCTCTTAGGAGGGGGGGGGGGTGGTACCCACACCACCGCTTCACACATCACGACGCTGTACCCTGCGCTGGATGCTGCTTGATAACTGCGCCCGCGCATTACATCCCAGGCATACAACACGCAGCGCGACTGGCCATAAGTCTAGCCAAGCCAAACACACTACTTGTCTGCACACTTCTACATTTCATTGGGGGCAACTGTCCTTTACAGCTTTTCTGTGCATTTGGGGAGAGAACCAACATGTTTGCTGCAGGACCCGGGACCATCGAGATTTCGCTGTGTTGGCACGCTGCCCAAGTACACAGCCTAACAGCCGTGGAGAACAATGGCGCCCCAGTCTAACGTGAGGGGTAAAAACAAGAAAAAAGGGTCTGCCTAGTCGCGCTGCGTCTTGCGTGACTCTGTTGCGATGAATGCTTGCAGTTATAAGAGAACGTTAAGTTATTCTCATTCTCCAGCTTCATTCTCGAGAATTTCCGTGTAGTTTTTACGGAATAGCAGTGGTTCGTATGAGGCTGAAAATCTGTGTTTTGTAGTAGCTACCCAATTATGTCGTTTTCTTTTTCTATTTGCCCCTAATACCAAGAAAAAAAATGAGCTGCGAGCTTCAATGCGGCTTATTTCGATGGACAACCAGAAAATAGTGCAGGAATGATTGAAAAAAATATGAAGTAGTCTGGAGTGGTACGAAACTGCGAAGAGAGTGAGTCATAGTTCTGCGTCGTGCTGGACATCTTTTGATACGCGACAAATAGTCACAGAGACGTAACAAGCCACACGGACACCCATCCTGCTAACTCTGTTACAAATATCGGTAAGGTAATAGGCAGATTGTGAAAGAGCTGTCATATGTAGGTAGGAAATTGGGGAGGAGGGGGCGGATTTAGCGAAACCTTTCCTCAACGCGATGACGTGTCCTGGGACCTGGACGGCCAACTTTATTTCGCATACTTTCAAATAATTATTGCGCTAGTGCACTATGTTAACGGATCTGCCCACATTGGGCATGGAAATGGATTGATCCACTTTGCCGACAATCTCTCTAGTGATTGCAAGCAGCTGCTGAGATTCCACTCCCCCAGCTTTTGTCCTCTCATAGAAATGGTGAAGAATGTTTTCTCAGCGATTCGACTTCAAGATATGTCTTAAGGAGGACCAGGAACGATTTGATCAAATGTCCGGACACTTGCGTGCCGCGTTCATATCTTGCGCCGCTGGAAAGTCGGATAATCTGCGAAGGGTAATCTATGTGCTAGCAGAGCACATCGTTGTTGGGGAATCCCAACAGGGGGAAGAGGGTAGTAGGCGTATTTGGCCGCAAGGAGATGGGGGTCGTACTTGGGCTGAGAAAAATTCATTCTGATTTTCCGACCTGCAAATCGGTCGTGCTTGAAGACGAACTGTACGTCCATCTACTTGCCGTGTGCAAGATAAACGGGTTCGCAGCTGCCAGTAGCGTGCCACTTTCTCTTCTCAAAACTGCACAAAAAGAGACTGGAGGATAGTGACATCCGGGTGCCGTCATCACCGCCCGCGCTGCCGCACGGCCAGCCACACGCTCAACCTTCATCCTGATATAAAATCGTTGGTATCACACTCCTCACGAAGGATCTCTGGAAGGATGAACAGCTATTTGAACATCGGCCTTAGCTAGCAGTCAATATGTAGGCTATTTACGCATTCTAGCACCTCCACGAGTACGACTTTCTATAGGATACGAACGCATGGCGCAACAAACTTCATTTTATTTAACAGTAGATTTAGCCTGATTGAGACACTTTTCCAAAGCAAACACTAGCCCACCAGCAGTGGCGATAAGCGCTGTTGAAAGCGACAATCGACAAAGTCAACAAACAGAACGCGACAATTCACAAGCACTACGTGTCATCGTCGCGGACAGCGAGAATTATAGGGACTCTAGCCACGACCACGGCTGGAATGACTATTTTACTTGTGAAAAACTGATAAACCCAAAAGAGCAGGAATTGGGGGAACAACTACTTGCAGTGCGATCGCTGATGGATCCAGTACGACCCGCTACTCCCAATGGCCCAGAAGTTGTCGAGTCCGGGGGGGGGGATGCGCTAAAGTACGATCCGCCTGCTGAGGACTCTTCGACCACGCCGCGCCTAGGTGTTCTTACAAGAGGCGCCACTACCGTATTCGCATCACAGATCGTACAGCCATGTTCGCTGCGGACGGTGGGCGTTTCAGGAAGCTGGGTTTGGCGCGGCCCCAGCCTGTTCTCCACCTACTGTCGAAGCTGGCAGGCCACTTAATTGGTAGAGCACACTGGTGCCGCGCCAATAGTAAAGAAAGTGAAAGAGTAGGGAAAGGGGAATAAAGGATATAAAAAGTGATTCGTTTCGCCTCCGACTCAGACGAATCACTGTCTTACGTCATCCCCCTGAGGCTCTTCAGTGAGTGGGGGATGACGTATGAAAAGGTATATGTAATGAGCGGTGAAGTGCACTGCTCTTCCCCGAACGCATGCGTTCGCTAGAGAACAAGCTGGTTCCTCACACTACCTCCTACGTCAACTTCTCTCTGTCCATACATCATTGCCAAGCTTGCGTAGGAGGATGGAACCCACGTAGTTAACTCTAAATACATACCAAATTTCATTTTTTATCAATCGGAAACTACTATATTTGTGTAAAGTTACTATCAGACCGTTACGATTTTTCTTTGTTACCTATTTATTCAAGGAAAGTTTTTTTAGTTCAGGAACCTTTAGGTGCGAAAAAAAAGTTGATCATCAGAGGGAGGCTAGGTCAGAAGGTAGCATATTCAGAACATCCAATCGTCGCAAACTCGGTCGGTCGTCATCGAGCAAACTACTAGAGTCTTTCTAGCTACCGTCATGGCCTTGACTTGACACCTTGACCCACTTCCTGTACTATTCTCTGCGGCAGTATTAGTTGTCATGGTATGAATAGCGCGCCGGTGGCACCACTTGTAAGAATTATTTTACAGTCTCCACTTTGATAGATCACCTTAGCAAGCTAGACGGTCAACACAATCGTAAGTGTCGCTCCATCAAGTGCGGAGATGGCGCGGCGTTCTCGTACTTTGCGCCAGTGCTTGAATGGAGCACCGCTTTCAAGTAAATTTTTTTTTTTTTTTTTTACGGCAGCGTAGACATGCAGTGCCATTTCTACATTGTCTACTGTCCGCATCTACGACCTAGAAGATAGTCGCTTGCGGGCGCGACGTCCACCAACGGGCAAAAAAGCGATTGCTGTGTCAATACGCGAATCGCGAGATTGCCGAGTTTTCTGCATCTCTAGTCGTTCAGTGACCGCCTGTCAAGAATAGCTGCGCATCATGCTGGATACCCAACGCGTCACTTCTACCATCTTTATGCGGAACCTCGTTTATTGGCTGCGATCTTTTATATGCGGACTAGAGTGGCTAGAGGCACTAATAAGAAGCACAAGTCAGAAAGCTCAGAGGTTTACGAAGCCCCACACCAACTGATTATCGCGGAATGTATGTCCAGAATGGTGGGTCTGTATGTTTTCAAATGCAGATGACTAGCATGAAACAGCGCTAACCTCACATGCACGATCGGCAGCTTCCATCGCACAACGCGAGCAACGTCGTCGTACTCCTCAAACACTCCTCGGTTTATCTTCTTATCATCAACATCGCAAAAAGCCAGCAACCACGTTTCTTTGCATCCTCGGCAATGATCTGAAAACCTCTGGTCTACAGTTGTTTGGAGTGAAGAATTTCAGAAGTTCTTACACAACATACTGAAAAATCGTTTCCCTCTGTTGTTAGCCAGCATCCAGCTGGTGAACGTTTTCCGTTGCGGGAGATCTTATGCACAGAAGCGCTCTAATGCGAATCTTCCCAAATAGCAAGGCTCAGTACATCGCGAAGATCGCGCAAACCGTCATGTATATCGATACGTAACCATTACCGATTCAACCTGAAGCGGTCACGGTCCAGTTTGTGTCAAGTGACATAAGAAGAAAAGGGACATGGAAAGCAAGCATGGGGGTGTCGTATAATGACAGCTCACGAGCACGTTTCTTTCAAAGTCAGCCAGCCTCATCCAAACGCTGAATTACTAACTTTTCGTAAATGACAGCCTTGACATGCCTGCTTAAAACAATAATGTTGCCTTCGGTAAGCCTGCTTTCTTACGACAACGTCTCTCATCGATCAAACAACAAAAAGCGCCAGAAGTCAGCGAATTCGATGAATCCTACATTCCCTGGAAAGGCGTCTCGCTGCATGCTCATGACCACAAGTAGGAAGAATTTTACAATGGCAGTTATTGCACGATGATTTGGTGCTCGCGGCCTGAAAAGCAGTTGGGCGCTATATAGTTGCGCGCAAACCGAAAATTGAGTAAAACGGTCACTCTGCGAAGAAAGAGCCTCCGTTCTCAATGTATTAGAAATCAATTTTGGACGAGTTTCCTGTAGGCATCTTGCCAATAACCGCTACCGAAGGTACGGCTAACACTATAGTGTACTCTGACTATATCGTGCAAGGCATCAACCGCGCTTCATGACGTCAGCCGTTCGCTCAAAATTTGCTTAGGCAAATGAATCGATTAGAGCGTCAAGTATGGTGCCATTTGTGTACCGCGCGGACGCTGGCGGGGTTGAGGTCGGATGAATGTTTGTGGCTTGAATAGACCTTATAAGGCACCGTCCCTTGAAGAGCATTTATACAGCGCCTGCTCAGAGTCGCGGATTTCCGTCCTGGCAGGCGTATCAATCCTATTTAGTCTCGGGGGTTTATCGTGCCAACTGCCTTTAAATTTTCCGAGTTGTACGGAAGACCGTGTTCCCTGTATCGCAAGCCAAAATGTTACCAAATCTTCACCTTCAAAAACAGCGTTTCCTAAGTCGAGCGCTCTGTAGAAAAACTCGAGGTCTTCCGGGTATCCAAGGCAAACGTCCTCTCGGAACCCGTTCAAACGTCTGTAGAGCTCACGAGAAATAAACCAAGTCGGAGCGATAAGTGTGGGTCCATGAGATGTGAAAACCTGAACGAGCACCAATTTGTCAAAGACACAGAGCCCCTTGTGATTATGAAGCGGTGAGAAAAGCAACTGACCTCTAACTTCGTCCACTGTTGACCGTGCTTCATGGTCGCGGCACCCTTCGGTCGAACATCTCGGCGAACGCCGAGACATACTGGCGTCAGTGCGAATTCGCGGCGATGGAAGCGACCAAACTACGAAGCTACGTACGCACGCCTCCAAGAGTATAGGACGACCAGAGTGCGCCTTCTGTCGGCGCCCACCCCTGCACTCCGTAACTACAAACCGTCGACAATAATAAGCGAAAACGGAGTAGTTCACCTGGAAAACAAACCTGTGATGTTAACTGATCGGCAGATAAACCATTGGCCCAGTTCGTGTATCGATCGGTTGATCCTTCCGGTATTCGCCGAAATTTGCTCCCTTAAGATGATTAATAATAATACAGGGTTAATTAATAGAAGGATCCAGAATATCAGGGTTAATTATCAAGGCAATTGAAGCAGATATCTGTCCCCGCCTATACGGTCAACGCTCAATATATTGAAATGCTACGATGCACGCAACAACTTACTGCCAAATGAGCGTGTTTGGTCACTCTTTTGTCGAATGATCCGCTTAATAGTCGCGTCATACTTCGCGATCCGGTGGCGCGAGTCCAGTGAGTCTCGAGTGATCCCGATCACTCAATCTCAAGCGATAGGGTCGCGAAGCATGAAAGGCGCCCATAATGCGTAGTCCCACATGAGTTTTAGCAGTGATACTTTATGGATCACCTTGACGAAAGTGAAGGACTCGGAATTCAAAAGTGGAAATGAAGAGGCTAGCCGATTTTCATTTCCCTACCCACGCTCGGAGTCATCGTCAGGCGTTTACGACCAAGCCGTTTCTTCGTGACCTAGCTCTTGTCAAAACTGGAAAGGATATCTCTCTGCACCAGCTTGTATCAGGCGGTTCAGTGTAGGAAGTACGCCTACGGACTCAGATTCGAAAGCACGGCAAAAAGACAAAAATAAAATCAGCGCAAAATGAAAACACCACACGTACTCATTGCAGTTCAGCAGGTAATAGAGAATGAGACCTTATCTCGGCGATTGCGACGGTGAGCTCGATTGAAACCGTGGGAATACAGTCATTATCAGCTGACAAGGCGTCTGTCAAATCCCATGTCATCCTGATAATTCTTTTTTCATACTCAGCTTAGCCAGTTCTATCCAGTGTGAACGCCGTGGACATGCTAATACCGTTCGAAGCGCAACACGCGAAACAAATAAAATAAGCCATCACTCACGCGGCTCGGTGCGGCGAAAGATAAATCACCTCGCCGCCGCACGAAAGAGCGAATTGCCTGCCAGGCCATTCAAATCTGAATGTTAAAGAGACGGGAAAGGTCGGTACCATGTTGCATAGTTATGCTTTCACAGCTCATTCGGCATGAGTTTCCTTGCTGCTGACGAAGTAGCGCACACTGACAACTTGCTGCGCAACGCCAGGATGCGCCGCCCCTTACAAGAAATGACGCACATTTCGCGGCTGAATATATCCAATAACGTGGGAGGTTAAGACAACACAATGATCATCTGAACGCAGGACTTCGGCTTCTTCAAATTTCTTTTGAGATTAGAGCCACTTCTTTTTGATGAATATCGCAATACAGTCTTATTCGGCCAAGCATCTGGGGCCACAATCGCGTGTGATCATTTCCTGAAATTACTGAGCCCCTAATTCATACTTAAATACGACCCCCCCCCTTTTTGGGAGTTGGTACGACCCCCCCCCCCCCTCCCAGCCCTCTGTCCTTCCTCATCGAACCGAGCCGTCGAGCGTAGGGGGGGAGTCGTCAGAATTAAACTATCATTTAGAGTGCTCGAAAGTAGTGTGCCCCGGAACTGACCAAATACGACCCCCTCCAAAAATGACCAAGTACGACCCCCCCCCCTTACAGCGTCCGTGAAACAAGAGAAATCAACTATCAAAAAAATTTTTCTCTGACCAAATACGACCCCCCCCCCTCGCGGTCAAATACGACCCCCCCTTGTGATGATCACAACGATGGCCTCTGGCTGGGGCGTGTTAGGTCAGCTGGAGCTGGCGGCACGGATACCACCGCGACTGCTGAGGGGGGGCGCAGCAAACACAGGCAATCGGTGAAAAATGCTGGAGCGCCACAAACGACAGCCCCCTCCCCACTCCGAACAGCCGCCGCTGCACCGCAGCGAGCAGACTGGACACAGGTTACAAGGCCGCTCGGGCAGCCGATGGAGGCGGGGGGGTGGGTGGCGGACCAGCCTAGCACGTCGGATCAGACCGCACACACCTCTTTGGCTAATCTCTGCACCAATGGAATATTGCAAACCGGAGAGATCCGTCTTATTCATAGAGAATGCAGAGGGGCAGAAAAGGATTGTCTAGTCGCGTCAAATTGGTTTAGATACTTACCAATAAAGACTAAGGAATTAGCACAGGAAGATGCCAGATCGTACTGCGATTGGATACGCGAGGGTTCTGACAGATCATCAGCGTCGCAAAAGCAAATGAATTTACCCGCACCCATCCCTATTGCACGATTCTCGCATAACCGACTCCTACAAAACGAACAATCAGAGACGGAAGAAGGAAAAGACATCATTCACACAGCAGCGATACCTCTACTTTCCAGTCCACTCTTGATTGAGCTGCCATACTACCCTTCGCGCCGCGAATGCTGGAATTGAATTGTTCGACATGAGCAAGCGGTTGATCCATACTTCCGCAATTGTCATACGCATATCTGTTCGACATGAGCAACGGTTGAGTCTCTACTTCCGTCATTGTATACGCATATCTGCAAGAACTGATTTTTTAAAGAGTCCCTGAGCAGGAAAAAAATGAGGGCTCTATTCCGGTAAATTGGGATGTTTTGGTGCAACAGTCAATGCGGACTACGGTACGGGTATGGCAAGAGAATCGTAATTCGCCGCGCCAGTGGGCGTCGCGTGCGACGTCGCGCCCGCTAATGACGACGATTTTAGGTGGTATTGGTCGAGAGTAGACAATGTATGACCAAAAATAGACATAGGTGTCTGCCATATCCTTGTCTACATGAAATCCAATGCTCCAATCGAAAGGGTAGTGCAAATTAAGGAAACGTCGCGCCCATTGCCGCGCGCGACGAAGCGGCGGCAACTTGCGATTCTCTTGCCCGTCCCCCTACGGTATTCCCCGTCTGCACACGTAGTCATTTGAAGACAAGAAGTTTAACGAGCCTCGTTTCAAGCCTATTCTGCGCTAAAGTTCAAGGGGAAGGCAGGTGGCAATGTCTGCTTTGCGAGATTAGGGCAGGCGGTCTCTAACCATCTGCAATCTCACAAGTCTTAGGCTTGGGGAAGGGAAGAGATAATGATGCATGGCCACCAAGATCCTTGCTAGCACTGTCATTTCTCCAATTTTCGGTTTATTAGACGAAATCAAGAGCTGGTTGGTTCGGGGAAGGGTTAAGCCCGTCTACCAACCGAAAGACAAAAACAGTCCATTTATGAACCGCTTTTCTTCGAGCTTCAGACTAGCTACTTTTTCTGAACAGCTACAAGGGAAGGACATGTTTGTCATTCCAAATTCCTCGGGTGCTTTGCACCAAAATACCCCACCTTACTGCAGTAGCGTTTAAACACTTACCTCCCATGTCCCTTTAAACGTTTGATCCGAGAGGGAATCCAGGCATTCTCCGATATAAGGCACACCATTCTTCACTGGAATCACCACAGACTGAAAAGTGTCGACTGAGCCTCGAAACGCCCACGAAATCAAAAGTTCTTGTGCTCACGACATCCATCGTGTTCAGCAGGTGAGAGGGTGTTTTCATGCCAGAAGTGAGAAGTTTGGAAGCTGAAACAACGCACATACTGAAGGATAACAGTGGAGCTCCCTGCATATTCCTACATTCCCAGCATTGTAGGAAAATGGGTTACAGAAAGTGCTAGAACTGCACAGTTGCAGCAGTACTAAGTGTCATTAAATCAGGAAAAACAATGGTGAATCTGTAGAAACTCACCTAGTATCCCACTACCGCGGTACCTCTAGACTTCCTGCTACGAAGTAGGAACATATAAGCCACATAGAGCACACACCTTCCCCATACGTCAAAGGAGAACCCCTTCAAAGAGCGCTGCTCGTCGTTCCATTTGTACTCTCCGCAATAGATTAAATGACGCGCAAGCTGGCTACGGTAGTCTCACTGGAGCGAGTTATCGATGCCAGCTGTTTTGTGGATGTTTCGCTCGTTCGTGTCGCTGACGCTCAGGTCAGGACGGTATTTATTATCTCCTTATACCGCCAAGCCTAGAACACACTGCACAGCAAGTTCCTTCCCCGCTGACCCCTCACAAGCTCGTCTATCCATACAGTACACTTGTGGAGTCTGCGGAACTCGTCAGGTTAGTCAATGCCTTTCTAAATTTATTTATAATCTGATGACCCTTATGAAAAGGTAGCGCTCTTGGACCGTTATTCCAGTAAAATGGGCGGGCGATTTTGCCAAACGGGCGCTAACGTAGGGGGGAGGAGTGCGCTCGACTGCTCCTTTCTGCCCCTTTCTGTGACCAAAACTTCGGACCAGAGCGCAGACGAGTAGAGTCGCCAAGGTATGGTTCGGTCTCCACTATGCCAAACTCTTGATTAGGATAAGAATATGGGGCGCAGTTTGTCGACGGGGGGCATTCTGCTTTCCATAGATGTGCCGACCCATCTAGGTAGCCTTTTCTCGAGTTGACACGTTTTAGGATGGTGGCTAGACGATCTTGCTCCAGCTTCACAAGTTTTACCAGAGTGAGATTTGTAAACCGGAACTAGGGAAGCAAGTAGTACAAAATGCCCCCTGTCGACAAACAGCGCCGAAATATGGTAATGTTGCCTGGTGATACGCTGCCGCCTTTGCTTGGAAAAGGGGCCTAGGAAGAATCTGGAGAGAAAGAGCCCCTGGGAACGTGGACCAGCTGCGCATTTTTCCGCCTTCCCATGGACTTGGTTGGGCACACCAATGAGAAAGGCGCAGTGCTTGACTCTTTCCGCCCGTACGGTCATCATGAGAAGTGTATTTGAGAAGAGAAAACCCGCGCCACAGGAGCAGTCATAGCTTTTTTTTCGGGAATATTCCAAAAAAAGTGTAGGCAAAACAAAATGTAGGAGAGCGGAAGGGTGTGGGACGCCCGTACAGCCAACCGAGATGCAGTTCCGCCCAGGCAACCGAGCCTTCCATCCTCAGAAGTCGGCCACTTGTACCTGGGCTAGTGAGGGTAGTGAAAGTATGGACTTCTACTGGTTCTCGCAGCTCTGTGTATTCCTCGTTGCAATCCAGTTTTTGTACGAAATGGACTGATTATTGGCGGAAGCGTGTCCTCTCCAGTTCTTAGTATGAAGTTTACGGGTGCAACATGATGTAACCCATAGCCCACGCGAAAGACCATTGGCTGGGTCTGACACAGCTAAACTCCATGCTAGCAATTTGGTTGCATGGTGTCGCGTAGGCTAAAAATCAGCCACGTTACAGCAGGGCTTTGAAAGGCGCTCAGCTCAAGCAAATTGTCAAAGCTCGGGAAGGTATTGGTTAACGCCGAATGATTTGTGCTTTCAAATAACTTGTAATGATCCACTCACTTTTTACAGGGACCGAAGACTTTTTCTCGGAACTCGTACGAAAAAGGCGTTGTTATTGTGACCTGTGATCAGTGCAGAAATCCATCATATTATCGCTGACAACCTTGGGTGGTTCAACGATTTCAAGGTAGGCTTTTATCTGCTACTAAGTTAATCATTCCTTCATAAGCAGTGTTTCTTTAGGGCAAAAACATCGAGGAGATTCTCAAGCAGAAAGGAATCACTGTCAAGAGAGGCATAAGCATAGAGGCTGACGAAAGTACATCTATAAGTAAAGAGGTGGGCTAACCGTTGCCCTGTTGAACTTTCGGTTTCTTTTTCTAGAGGGCCTCTTACCGCGCTGACTATGGGGGCGGAGACAGGTGTACAATCGTGCCTAACCAGTTGGTGTTCTCCCCTGACTGTTTGAAAGGAGAAGTGCATCCAACAGAAAGCTAGCAGTTCCCACGAGTTGTTGTCGCTAGTGTTCAGTCGGTAGTCAACGACTAGTGGAAGACTGGTAGGCGGCACGATCGTCAACCCAGCCTCGCTAGCACGCCCATCATCCGTTGGGAGCACTTCTGTACAAAGTTTGCGATGTTGTTACAGTAACTTTCAGACCAGCAATGACTAGCCTCTATCCCGGCCATATTCCACTTTCGCTGGTTTCCCGAATGTTGCTCGGTGTAGGCTCAGCAACAATGGCGATTACTGATCCACGACGAGGTGACATGGTAGGCTGCTATGGGTGAAGCCACTGCCCTAGAAAGTGTTCTTGAGAAAATTCGGTAGCTATTTGTTCTATTCCTGACGCTGATCATGTGACATTATCGAGCAACGGTCCTCTTATTACAGACAACGAATGGAAAGTGATGTGGTTGGCGCCCGTCTTCTCAAAGAACGTCCAAGGGTCAACAATCAAACGGTGAATCGTGAATATCTTGAATCGTTACCGGAGAATACTTTTGGAAAACGTTACGCCAAGTAAGGCTTACTGTTACTGTTTGCTTTGGCAGGACATGAGTTTCCAAGTACATCACAAATGTGTTGTTATTGCTGAGATAGTCGTTTTCGCTGTTTCGCTTTTTCGGTTCCTCAGAAATCATTAAGATCATGTGATTTTTTTTTTCATTTTCCTCTATTTCTCGGCTGTGCTTGTTTTCAGATGTCTGACCTTACAAGAAAGAGGGAACAGCTGAACATACCAGAGCATATGCTGCAACAACGTTCGACTGCGGTAATCGTAATTGTGCACGCTCGGTTTAATCCTTCGTTTAGGCCTTGAAGTTCGTGATGCTTTGGCGAAACGACTAACCCTGTTCCACGGAAAGATCTTTACGTTCTTGCGTGAGCGCCATCTCCACCTTTCCCCGCTCACTGAAACCTTATGGGAAGCCCCGCCCCAGATTTCCACGCCCGCTTGTCACCGTCGATACGGCTGGCCGCATTTCTTTCCAGCGAACACTATTTTGCAGCTAATTTTGCTCCGTGTGCTATTCACTATCTGCTTTCTTTTCTGTAGTCAGCTTCAGTTAAGTTGAAGCGACAGCAGAAACGATTCGAGAATGCTATTGTCTTAAACGAAGCCGACGGTAACCTCTTTTGGAATAACTGTCGCGCCGCGACACCCTCAGTGGACCTCTCACTGGAGCGCGCTATTTCGCAGTGAGAGCAATCACTAATACTATGTTGGCGGTCTACTTACATTAGTAGCTACTGTTGTGACGCTTAAAATGGCGTACACAATTGAAGACCCGCAAAAAGATGAACATTTCATCCAGAAGCGGAAATACGCGCATTCGTGCATTATGCCGAGTACAAACATGAGATATGACAACGAGCGCACAACAACGTGCGGGTGACCAACAACGTACCATATCGTATAGAAAGCTAGTTATTGTAGAATACAGTCCAGATCTTGAACCGATCTTGATAAGGCGTTCGAAGCGATATGTGTTCAAACATAGTTCGGTGTGTTTTTGAACATAGTATGCATCCCACCGCCTGTTTGGTCCTAGGACCCACTGCATCTTTTCCAACAGGTCTGTGTGCCGCAACTTCAGTTTCGTTTCGCCCCATAGGAAAAACTCAGTTTTCAGACGATCGACTTAGCAAATTCAGCATCATCGAAAGCGCCGTAGTAGTGAATGCCCTCATCTCCACTTTGCCTGTCATGAAAGTATGGATTTGGAAGCGCTCTTTCTGCCTCAGAAATTTCGATGATCTGCCATTACCATAATAACAGTCGCTCGTTGAGCGAACTATCCCCGCTTCTTTCCCCCGGCTTTTGTCGCTTTTTCCAAGTGTGGTAGTTAGCTGTCGAGGATTCGTGATTGTTCCCTTCAATTGCTGTCCTTTTCCACCATTTCTCATCCAACGCTTTCGCAAAGTTTTATTTGGTTACAGTAGTCCATCACACCAATACCTTATGCTGTACATCCAATGTGTTTTGAGGAACTTAGTGAAACCAGCAAGATATGTACTTAGATTGCAATAGCATTGGACGTCCCTTGAAGTTCCCCTTTTCAAACTTCCGGGCGTGAAAAGAATTTTAGTTGATCTTCCTCAATTGCGACTCTGTCACTACAGTTATTGATCATTACTGCGTAGTTGCAATAATCATTGATCATCGATATATGGGTGCTAACGTATTTGGGGGGACTACGCGACTCGCGGCGAGTGATGACCCATCGGCTCTTCACTCATCGGCATACTTGAGGCGCGAATCTAGCAGATAAATTAGAACAAACGAACAAGGTCCACAGGGAACTTGCTGAGAAATCCCACAGAGGCTGAAAACAAATGTTTGATCTTTTGAAGTCAACAA